AGCAATATACAAATCAATCACATCCTGTAACATGGCAACAATATACAAATCAATCACATCCTGTAACATAGCAGCAATAGACAAATCAATCACATCCTGTAACATAGCAGCAATAGACAAATCAATCACATCTTGTATCATGGCAGCAATAGACAAATCAACCACATCCTGTAACATGGCAACAATATACAAATCAACCACATACTGTAGCATGGCAGCAATAGACAAATCAATCACATCCTGTAACATAGCAGCAATAGACAAATCAATCACATCCTGTAACATGGCAACAATATACAAATCAATCAGACCCTGTAGCATGGTAGCAATATACAAATCAATCACATACTGTATCATGGCAGCAATAGACAAATCAATCACATCCTGTAACATAGCAGCAATAGACAAATCAACCACATCCTGTAACATAGCAGCAATATACAAATCAACCATATCCTGTAACATGGCAACAATAGACAAATCAATCACATACTGTAATGTTGCAGCAATATACAAATCAATCACATACTGTATCATGGCAGCAATATACAAATCAATCAGATCCTGTATCATGACAAGGTGTGTGAGCCTAAAACTTACCAATGTCAATGACATATTTTGCTTTGATGGCACGTATCAAATTCTGTAAAAGCTGGAGAATTTCTGGTGCTCCCATCATGTGATATTTTGGATGTGTCAGAGTAAGCTACAAGAAGAAAGAAAAACACAATGGAAGAGACTGCAAACATTTCTTAATCATTACACATATCATTTCTGTTAAAAATAATTAAAATACAGAACAAAAGACGATTGGAAGATATTATAAACATGTCCTTCACTGCACTTTTTAAATAGATGTGTCAAGATTAGGGACGAAACAAACACGCTTAGAAACATTTATTAATATTAAATGTTCTGTTGAATATAGCATAATGGACAACAAAGGACCATTTAGTCCTTCCAGGCTGTCTTACCACACCTATGCTTAAGAACAGTAAAAATTCCCTTCTCAAAGCCCTGTAAGTTACTGGCATTCATTACTGTCAATGGCAACTCACTTCAAAAGCTAATCACCCTGTTAGACATATAAAACTGTCTTAACTGAAGTGCATCTTTACAAATCTTAAACTTGTGTCCTCTCAATTTATTATATTTAGAATACAGCACAAAAAAATCATCAATCCCCTGAATAATTCTATAAATTTCAATAACATCAACTACTACCCTTCCTTTCTCAAGAGAAAGGTTATGAGATCTTAACTTATACCTATAAACTAACACTTCCATCCCCATAATCATCATAGTATCCCTCCTCAGAAAAATAATTATATTGTAAGATGATATGAAGGGTTCAACTTATTAAATAGCAGGGGATTCTTAACAGCATTCTGGAACATAATTGAAGAGAAACAGTAATTACAAAGGAAACTTAAAACTGGGTTTCTAAAAACTATTTGTAATTCTAAGAAGTTAGAAGTTGATTCCATCAGGACTATGTGACTTATTAACAGCTGATACATTATGGTAGTGTTTGAATTATTCAAGTAAAATTCTTAGTTTATGCATGTAGTTTAATGATAATATTCTAAAAAGTTGTGTTTCAAAAATTGATGCATATTAAAAAAATTATTATAATACAAAGCAAGCAATTTTTTGAACTTCCTTAATAAAGTAAAATCAGAGTTATCAAAGTTACAAATACTGATGTTTGCTTACTTCATATAGTTTCTTTTGAGCAGGAGACAGTCGAAAAGAATTCTGTTTGATATATTCATTGACAGGGTCTTGATTTTCAAAGCTTTTCTTTTCTCTGTTAGTTAGATCCATATTGGAATGCTACTTGTTTTAACAAACAAAACCCGTAGATACCTGCAACGAAATAACATACTACCTGCAATAACTGATTTTAAAATGATATTTCATTAATAAAACACAATTAATTAACAAGATACTTATCTTTTCCATACTCTCAAGCTTTATCTCTTCTTCATGTCATAAACATTTTTTTCTTCTTTCTATTATACATAATATTATAAATATTCCAGTTCCATGGTAAGTTTTGGTACACAGTGCGCACTGTGTACCAAAACTTCCCATGGAACTGGAATATTTATAATATTATGTTATGAACACTGTTGCACTGTGTACCAAAACTTCCCATGGAACTGGAATATTTATAATATTATGTTATGAACACTGTTAACAGTGTTCATAACATAATGGTTTTTTACACCATGGTAACCAAGATTATGGTATAGTAAAAAAAAAAAGAGTTGTTGGGAGAGTCTGAGTGAGCTGTTTTAAAATTGTAAAAGGAATTGATAATGTTGATGCATCATCTTTTTTCATACTTAACAGTGAGAATAGTAGGACTATGGGACACAAATATAAATTTTGGCAAGGTAGGAGTCATCTTCAGCTAAGACAATTTTATTTTTCTAACAGCGTGGTTGGTCTTTGGAATGGGTTGCCTTCGGAGGCAGTAAATTTAAGTGAGTTTAAGAGAAAGCTTGATAAGTAAATGAATGATAAAGACTGGCTTTGAGATTTTTTTTAATTTATTTATTAATAGTTTTAGTTTAGTTTAGAGGATAGAATAGCTGAGATGGACCAATAGGTCCCATGTTGTCCCAAAACATTATGTTATGTTTGTTTTTTCTCACATTGTTGGCTGTTTGTGAACAAATACCATTAATCAAGACACTCATGATGTGTTTCTATTATTGAACAATGAAAACATAACATTGATATTCAAGATGTGTTTCTGTTATTGGACAATGAACACAAAACATTGATATTCAAGATGTCTTTCTATTATTTAGTAATTTAAGTAAAATATTGATACTCATATACCTATCAAGTAATACAAGTTAGTCATAGTAACATTTTTTCATTAGTTTAGAAAGCCTATATATGGCCATATAACGTTATTACTGATTCAATGTCATGTCTGAGTGAAATATAGTATCGTTATATGATTATCATATTTTGCAGTCCTTTTCAGTTCCTTCCACACACACCGTTGTATCACTGCACAGCAATAATTATATTAACATCAGATCTTCCATCTTCGGAAACATCTATTCCATTTACATCCTGTGAAACAAAAAATTTCATGGGAAAATTATCTTTGCAGGGTGATCACTCTAGAGTGGCTAGGGTGTGACAGACTGAAAGTGAGAGTTCAACCTCAAACAACACCTAGTGATCACCATGTTCAATCCAAATCCATTAATCTTTTACATTTTTGTTTTAAATGTTAACGTGTTTTTAAACTGAAAATGTATTTCTAATAGATACTTACCTCCCTCACAAAAAGCTTTATTGAGTTATATTGCCCTCTACTGGTGCAAATTTACCCTCATGCATGTTAACGTGAGATATTTACATACTAACATGCAAATGATTATGCAGCAACCCTCCACCAATAGGAGAGCGACACTACCCCTATTGTAACTAGCACCCTCTCTGATCTTGCAGCTGTTAACCACTTCGAGATTGGTCATATCACTAGAAACCACACTGGAAGTGGGGAGGACAGGCGGGAAATGTAAATGGAGGTAAGTATCTATTGGAAATACATTTTCATTTTAAGAAAATGTTAACTTCCAATACAATATCTTACCTCTTCTCATAAAAAGCTGGAATCCGACATTGAACAGGTGTAGGGCCAGTGAGAAGATGATCTCCCTTTAGGAATTGCACAAAGGAAAACCATGGTGTGTAAGAAGGAACTAAAAACAACAAAACCACACCACTTCTGAGCCAGGAATATTCATCGCCTGTGAGTAATGTGTTGCCAAATGGGCAGAAATAAAGAAGGGACCCCAAGAAAAATTACATACATAATGGGACCTCCCCTCAGTCTAGAGTGGCTAGGGTGTGACAGACTGTAAGTGGGAGTTCGACCTCAAACAACACATCGTGGCATCTGGAATTGTACATCACATCCGAGGTAGGAAGAGGTTCCTTTGCCTTTAACCTCAAAAAACGGGTGACAGCAGGGAAGAGGAGCTTCCATACCAATAACTCAATTCCACAGGTGCACACCTCCAACACCAGGCCACGAGAGGGGCAAACTGTGATATATATATATATATATATACATGGTGGAGTGCATCATCCTTCACCTGGCAGCATCAAGTCCATAGTAGGAGGAGCATCAAATGCCACAGCTCATCAGAGATGGGCGGCAATCTCTGCCTGCTTTACTCATGTTACTTCAGGAGTCCACAGTGTGGGACGACCATATTTATGAAGTAAAAGATCATGAGACACACCTATGAGCAGTCCTGTGGAACACCCCATCACAGTGGTTGGCATAAAATGACCTGGGTATGTGTTAGGAAATTGTATTTTGAAACCAAAAAAAAAACATGGTGACAGGGTCAATCAAACAACACCTGGAAGCATCTGAAATTTTACATCAAGGTTCGTGGCAGGAAGAGCCTCAATGTTACAATCATCTAGCATTTTATATGATCACAGGTCATTTAGTGTGGATTTAAGACTAAGTGTACCTTGTCAGGTAATACTCGCCACAGAGCTGGATCCAAAAGGCCCCTGTCAAAAAGGATGTTATGTGAGGAACAGTAGTATAACCCCATCTGACTAACCAACATCAGTATGCGTACCACTCATATTGGTAAACAGTCATGGAGGAAGGATGAACTGGAAGGAAATGAAGGAAGCTACGTGTTGTGAAAGTCTGGTCCTTCAGGGCAAAGAACTGGACAAATATCACACTTGAAGATGGAGCATGGTAATGGACAGATAACACAGACCTCAGTGGGGCTGATGAAGGTGTGTGTCAGAGATAAAGGAAGAGGAAGGGGCAACATCAAAAGCCAGCACAACAGTGGAAACCATGTTTGAGCCGGCCAATATGAAGCTTCCAACAGAACACAACATGGAGTGTTCTGAATTATGGCAAGGGCCCTTGGGAGGAGACAAATAGGAGGATGTGTATATAAGTACCAACTGTCCAATGTCGACAGAGTGCATCAACTGCTACTGGGGAAGTTGTATATTGAGATAAGTGGCAAAAGTAACCCAATCTGGGATACCCACCAAGCCCACAACCCCAAAGATCCAAAGACCACTCTATAGGGAGAATCTTGTTGGGACAGGAAAACTAATCAACAAACAAATTCAGGGCACTTGGAATATGACATGCCAACAAAGTGATATGATGGCTGTGGACCCAATACAGAAGATCAAATGTTTGAAAACAGAGGTCTCTTGACTGAGTGCCCTCTTGCCTGATGATGTACGAAATGACTGTACAATTGTTGGAATGGACCATTACCAATAGACCCTGTAGATCCCACAGAAAATGAGGTAAAAATCAATGAACAACAAGAAGTTCCAAGGGATTGATATGGAGAGAGGATTCGGAAAGAGTCCAATGCTCCAAAACCTTCTGATTGTCGATATATCCCCCTCCCAACTGGAAATAGAAACATCTGTAAAAAGGTGACATTCCAGACAAGGAGGTGGAAGGGAAACACCCACAGTAGTATTGTCCCAATCCAACCACCAGGCAAAGTTGGTCCATTGGTCTATAAAAACCCACTGAATCGGTACATGTAGATGCGACCAAGAGGAATGATGGTTTTTAGAGAAACCCCATCCCCAAAAGAGAGAGAACCTCTAATGTAGTAGGAGAGGATGAGATGCTCCATACGAAATGTTCTATTCCTCTCAACCAAAGTACAGAAGTTTAAGCTCGACTAAGGAGGATGTTGAAAAACACATGGAGATGAGCCAAATATTGTGTAGGTGTGAGGAAAGACTACACCACTTTGACAAGCCAACCCACCATGGCAGTTTCCTGGAGAAGAAACTGAATATGTAGGACTGAGTATTCTTGTGAGGAAGCATGAAGCAGCCAGTTGTCCATATAATGGTAGAAGCAAAGGTCTCTGGAATGAAGTAGGCAGGCAAAAGCCTGGATCACTCGACAGAACACATATGGAGCCAAGTCAAGTCTGAACAGAAGTGCCTGAATTGGAACACATGTCCATGATGAACAAAGTGAAGATACTGTCCAGATGCAGGGGAGATGGGGATATGCATCCAACACATCGACCTTCATCATCCACAAACCTGGAGTGAAAACCCAATGAAGAGCTAAGTATGACCCTATGGTAAACTTGGGAATGATGAGGAAGCAGTTCAGCAATGACTTTTCACCAATCCCCCATCTTTTGGGTAACAACAAACAGACGAGAGTAAAATCTCAGATGAGAAGGATCTCCTCATTTGATGGTACCCTTGTGAAGTAAGTCCCAAACTGCATCTCAAAGATGCTAGCAAGAAATGGGATTCCAAGGAGGAGGGAAGAAAACAGAAGTGAGAGACAATGAAAGTGGAGGACAAGACCTTCAGAAACAACATTCAAACTCATGGATCTACTGCAACGAACCTCCAATCGTGGGTAAAGTGAAGCATTCTGGCCCCCATCAGCTCTGACCCAAGAACATAGTCACCAATGCTGGATGTTTTGAAAACAATGCCTCTCCATATATGTATGGCAAACAACAGATGCCGAAGCAGCCTGAACCAGTACGAGATTGGAAGGTGGGGGAAGACACAGGGATGGGAACAGGTTGATGGGATAAATGACAAGACAAAGATGAGGAGGTATGCAAACAGGTTGAGTCAACCCTCGACGCCAACGAGTCAGCGATACTCTCAAACACTTCTCATTGCAAAAAGGATGTCATGTGCATGTCATGCAATGAGGTGGAAGGTAAATGAACCCACGATAAAATGGCGTCTTGACTGAGATATCAACAGCAAAGCATCTTATCACCCTCCTAGATAGCCCAGGTCTTGAGAAGAAAGGAGCAATCTGAAAAAGAAAC